AGTCACATGGAAGGACATCCCAGGTGCTGAGAACGGTGCAGAAAGAAAACCTTAATTCATAACAAGTGAGGAGGGAACCGGCAGATGCAAGATGAGTGAGAGGCACACAGAGGAAAGTAGAGAAGAACGAGTTCTGCAAGGTTGGCCGGAGGAAGCCCATGAATAGTCAATCCGAGGCAAAGTGGTGGCATATTTTGATATATGCAAAGACAGAAGCAGCCTTCGGTTTTTCTCACCTGCTTCTGTAGGTGTAATTCTAACTTTTTTATTCTTGCTGTTGCTATTGTGCTTGTGACATCAATATTACCTCTATGGCTAAGTACAGACAGTCGAAAAATCCGAGGTGGAATCAATTCAATCTGCGCAGGTTTCGCTAAGCTGCGTAGACTGAACCGATAGTGAACAGAACAGAGGTTTACATTTGAGTCGAGAAAGGCAGGCACTGACCCAGGCCCAAAGGCAGGGGAACTCGAGCATGCCTCCCAGACTGGTGCCCATTGCCAGACCATCCCCCATTGGCTGGCTGGACCACACTCCCAACCTCCTACTGCCTGGTACAAGCCCCAGGGATGACCGCTGTGTCCTGCCAGCTGCTGGTGGTGCTGGGCTCTGGTAGGACACACCAGGTGGCCCAGGAGGCTTGAGCTGGGCAGAAGAGCTGGATCCTTCCTATATGGAGCACTCCTGTGCCCACCACTGCCTGCTGCAAGCCCCCTAGGCACCAGCAGCAGCCAGCGAGATGTGCCAGGCAGCCCAGAGGCATGTGCCAGGTAGCAGGGATGGAAGTACTCTGTAGAAGAGGTGGGAGGAAACCCCCCACCATGCAGCCTTTGTGCTGCTTCAGAGCTGGGGGAGGCAGAGACTCAAAGGGGGCAGGGCTGTGCAGCTGGCCCACAGAGGGGGAGACCCCAGTTGGAGTGGGGGAGAAGCCCAGGCTGGGCAGGGGGCTCCTTTCCCCTACCTCCTGCACACCCAGATCCATTACAGCCCAAGGTGGGGTCAGCCCAGGTGGCCTGAGCAGAGGACCACTGGTGCAGACTAGCCTGCCCACCCACAAAAGCTTCTGGTATACTGGGGGCTGTGACCTAACTTGAGTCAGGAGGAGAATGGGACAGTTCCATAAACCGATTTAACCTAAATCAGTTAAGTCCATCCAGGTTTATCTTAAACCAGGTTCGGCCTTTTTGAAACCAGTTTATGTGCACTGAACTTCTGTTCGGTTACAAGTTTATATCAGTTTCTGATCACTTATACCAATTTATGATCACTTAACCCAGGAGGTGCACAGTCCCACCAGAGGAAATGCCCTGTTGGACCTGGTCCTGGCCACAGGCGATGATCTGGTAAGGGGGCTCCAGGTCCTTGACCACCTGGGTGATAGTGATCAACGCTTGCTGGAATTCACCATCCAGCACAGGGTGTCAAGGGTCTACAGCAAGGCAGTAGCCCTAGACTTCAAGAGGGCCAACTTCAACGAGTTAAGGAGATTAGTGGGAGAGGTGCTGGGGTTCTCAAGGGCAGGGGAACTCAGTGCCCAAGATGAGTGGTCGTTCCTTAAGGAGACGATAGTCAGGGCCCAAGGGGTGACGATCTCCAAAGAGGAGTATACTTCCACTGCTCGGGCCAGTAGGGGTGCTTTTAGGAAAGCTAAGGCAGACATAGAGCTAGGACTAGCGTCCAAGATCAAAGATAATAAAAAGTCCTTTATCAAATATATAGGGAGGATGAAGGCAGCACTGGGAAATGTGGGGCCCCTGCAAGATACGCTGGGCAATCTGGTGGTTGCGCCAGAGGAGAAGGCAGACCTCTTTAACAAATTCTTCACCTCTGTTTTCTTGTGCAGGGACCGGGACTCCCCCACTGTGATTCAAGATGGACTCGAGGGGAACGCCCCAAGACCTAAGGTTGAG